GATACAATTAATTCATTATTTCGTTTGGCTCAACCCGATTTCTCAAATGACACTCTGGCAACACAGCACGCTAAAACGCTGAAAATCATCTCTGAGTTTGTAAAGAATTATTTAGATATAGAGTATTTTTCTTCCCAATAAGCCCAAATCATGTCCCAAACGCGATTTTCAAAGCATTGAGCTATAATATAATACAATGCTGCAAACCATATCCTCTTATAACTTTCCATTTTTGGACTTTGCGTTTTGAATTTAGTGAAAATCTGTCTAGGGGTTACATGCATTTTAAATGGGATCAGCTTCATTCACTTCACCAAAGTGGTAACCAGTGACGTCATGTGCGCACGAAAATCGAGGTTTCGACCGATTATATACTACCTTGTATTCATTGTATCATGAGTTATTATAGTTGTATTACAGTCTATTATGACGTATTATCGTCTATAGTATTTGATACAGTTATGGCGMGCGTTGAAGCACCATGCGTTTCGTCCCGGGTCTACCTATTGCACTCGTCAGTAAGGCTTAGGTAGGCCCTGCCATAGAGTAAGTAAAATAATTATTTTACTTTCTCTATGGGCCCTGCCTTRGACGCCGGATACATGACATATTAGAGGTTCGATTTGAATCGAAAGGCCGCAGATGTTATGCGGTGAGATATAGCTRGCGTTTCGGTTGGAGCTACTAGTTGAGAAGTGGCGAATAGAGTTCGCCACACAGTCTTTATCTACGGGCCAATAAGTCACTTGATGATTGGTCAGACTACGTAGCCGTACTTGTACTTGTCTTTATCTATGTACGTAGCGAGACGTCAAATCATACTGCAAATTTTCTACGATAAAATCAGGATGATTTGCATGTTTGGGTGACGCTCCAAGGTGGAATATTAATATTTTCTTTAAAAAACCTTTAAGAAGAAAATTGCGTATTTTACATCAACGTATTATGATTTGATTAACATTTTTTGCAACAATTTTCAAACGTCCGGAAATGTTTGGTTTAACCGCGAATTCATTGGCACATACACAAAGGGCACATACATCGTCTTTTCGAGCCCTTTGCAGATGCGTTTGGCGTTTTAGGTCTTATATAAATTTTAGGGAGTTAATATTTAATACAAATCTCGACAATACAACTAAAGAGATTATAAGTACCAGGCTACATCTTAAATTAACACGAGTTTAATGCTAGTGCCAGCTGTATCCGTTTTATTAATTATTCAATAAATTTAAAAATCTGAATATATTTGCGGTGAGACATTTTTCTGAAAGGATTAGTGTAAATTCATTATTAGTACAATTAGATTCAAGCATATTTTTTGGGCAACATTTAGAATTAAGTATGCATTTAGTTTTCCTAACATCTTTATGTTCAGGTAGGTACGTGCTGCTTCTATAAATTCTGCTTTAACTGTCTATTTCTGTTACGTTTACATTCTGTAGTTTCGCTAATATTGTCGAACAATTGAATACTTATTTAAAACAAATCCGGACATGTTAGATGATTTTTTTGCACGTGGTTTATAGATGTCACGATGATATATAAATTTGATTATGACGTCGATATGACGTGACATTGGTGACCACAGAACACCTTTGAACTGTTGTGTGAAGAGTTGGTGACTTACCACGTGCTTCTCACGTGATTATCAAAAGTCTTTTAAATTTAAATTAAATGGCGAGAAACATCTGATTTTGGGTGTGTATTGAAGGGGAGAAGGGTAAGTAGTCACGTCAAGATAGAAAAACAACTGCTGCCACAGAAAATCCCCCCTAGGGGGGATATAATAGCAAAAACTTTTCTGTGTGGTATATGATTTCTATGATTAGAGGCGGACAGAGATTTTGATCTTTCTCTACTACTTATAATGTGTCTGGCGTTTAGTCAAGTTCGTTAGTAAACATAATACCAAACCTATAAATACCCCCTGGGTTATTAAAATATCACTAGAAGCAAACACACCTTCAGTATATATAGATTGGCAACACAGTCCAAATATAATTTAGGTAGTTGCGTGATTCAACATATTTAACTACCTACTTACGTCTGCGTGTCGTACTGATAGGTATGAGAAAATCAGGATTACTTAGAAACAGTGTTTTAAAATAGACAGTGTCTGTAACTTGTCCTCTATCTGCTGTGCTACCCTGTCCCATAGATTATAACGACAAATCCGTTAATTTTCGAAAATGAGTCTGGTGGATTGAAAATCATCACCCAGTTCCCTGAGGAAATATCAATTTAATTTAGTTCAATTAGTAGAAACAATTAGGCCTTAAATTAAATAATAGGTTGAGACTAACAATAAGCCGTATAATAGGGGTTTCGTAGTAAAATCAGGGCGGTAAAATAACAGTGGTGGTAACAGGTCAAAGTCAGCAGGTAGATCCTGCTTCTTTAGCCGAGCACAAAAGTGTGAAATCTGACCGATTCGTGCTGAAAAAAAGGTACCCATGAGGTTTCATGAGTGATACTCCAAAACCGGCCGCCTTCATCAAACTTGCTACCTGATACCAAGATCGAGGTCAATACTTTGTTGAATCTTTCTGAGAAAATATTCAATGTACAATGTATAGTCGGCGTCACATAAAAGAAGGATGGTCAACCAAAACAGTAGCTGAGAGATTTCGAAAATCGAAGAGCACGATTTATGAAGAGATTAATTAAATTGTCAAATTAAAACAAGTTTGTGACATACATCGTAGATACATATATTTGATGTATTTCACAAAGCCTGATTTACCAAAATCGGGAAAAATCCATTTTAGGAGTCGTCTATTTTTACTTTTACACTGATGACAAATTTTATTTTGTCAATTAACTCTTTCTATGAACTTTACGTAATAATGACTGTTATTAATTCAAAAAAAATGCGGCAATGTTCTTATATGCGATATAAGTATGTACGATACTTTCAGCCGCACTGTGTATTTATTCAATAATTAAGAAACTATTTTTGCGAGAAAGAACTGGAAGCGACGTTGTATTTATAGTTTTCAGGTGATTCACCCAAAAACAAAAGCTATTTTTAAATTTCTACATGTATCTTGCAAAATTCGTATGAACCCCGTGGTTGATGCAAACTTTTTTTAACTGGCCATCGGAATTTTGATCGGAATCGAACGAACCATCTTGTGTATGATTACAAATTTCGAATATTAACTTAAAAAAAAATTA